TTTCTCTGAATTTAAAGATTATTGACCTATTCATCAGTCAGTTAACAAGGTTAATGAAGAAAGAAAGACTCATAGTTGAATCTGCTTATGTGGAGCAAATATGGGCCAAAACATGACACTTTCAAATTCAATATTTCGGGGAATGGAAGAATTACTTAAATAAATACCTTTTAATTAGAGCTATCAAAATGGGTTTGGCCCGCTAGGTCGGTCCAACCCAACTCTTAAATTAAATGGGGTTGGGCTTAATTTTTTTCAGCCCATTTAAAAATGAGGCTTTTTAGCCCAGCCTCATTTGGCCCGCTGGCTCGTAGGCCCAACCCGCAAGCCTCAGAGGTCAGCCCGTGGGGGTGTGAATTTTAAAAATATTTATTATTTATATTTTAATTAATGTTTTATTTGTTAAGATTTTGTCAATAAATATATTTAAAATATCAATATAAAATCAAGACTATCTTCTTTACATATCTTTTACATTTTAGGGCCATTAGCCCACTAAATTTTATTATTAGCTCAAGTCCATTACTCCATTATAACTATGAATCTTTGACCTCTTTTACTTTTGTTGTTATGCCTAATTTTCCACTTCTCCTTTATTGTCTTGTTTATGAAAATAGTGATCATGTAATGTTATTTGCTCGGATGAATCTTATGAATGTTGTATTTTGGATATTATGTTTTTTTGTTTTGTAAATATTCACTGAAGTATGTGTAATTTATGAATTAATTTCTGTATGTATTGATATCGTGTTCATCAGACATTAACGTTCGTACTCTTTTTAAGAGGGAAATGTTGTCCATTTTTTGGTTGAAGAGCCAACCCGTCCCAACCTGTGGTCTGCTTAGGACTGGGTTGTACTGCTATTTTATAGGGCCTTTAATTAAAAGGGTCAGCCCGTCCCAACCCATTTAACTCTCTAGCCCATTAGGGTTGGGTTAGGCCAGCCTATTTTGACAGTTTTACTTTTAATAAATAATTACTCATTTTAGCAATACTTTTTATTTATTACCATTTATAGCAACATATAACAATGATATGATAAATTTGCAATATGTATTAAAAGTAAATTATGTATGCAATATATATGTATTATAATTGTTTTAAAATATAGGCGAAATGATCTAATAGACCCTTATACTTGTACGAGTTTGTATTATGAACTCTTTTACTTAACCCTTTACCAATTAAACTCTTAAACTCAATCAAAAGAAGATTTTTACACCCCTCATACCATGTGTGTAGTTCACTCTCTCTTAAATAAATGACATGTCAAATCCATGTCATTTAAATAAATAACAAGTCATAATTATATTCATTAACTAATTTTTAAAAATTATTAATTAAAATTTTTAAATAATAGGTTAAATAATCTTTTAACTCAACATTTTTAATTAAATAAAATAATCTTAACTCCTAAGCGCCGACGTCTTCCTCCTCTTTTCCTCTCCCATTTCCATCGTCAAACAATAGTGGCCACCAACAAAGAAAGTTGCCACCGCCACCACCTATTTTCTCTTCCTCACCATCTCCATTTCCGTCGCACGCCCTCGCCATTTTCCTTTCCCCATTCCCCGACCTTCACAAAACCAGCAGCCCTAAGTCGTCGCACCACCGGCAAACCTCTTCGCCTACGTGACCAAATCCTCGCACCCTTACTCGCCTCATCTCCTCCACACAGTCTTCGTTTCTCCGAACCACCAGCAACCACCCTTGAACCACTACAGACCCCTTATTCTCTCCATCTTCTCCGGCATACTAGGATGTCACCACCACCCTCACACCGCCTCCGTTCTGGCGAAAAAGGGACCAACAATAAAGAAGACAATTTTTTATATTTTATAATTTTAATTTTTTAAAATTTAAATGTTATATCACTCGCTTGTTGAGGCGTGTAGTCATACACTCTTGCCAATTCAGTCATCTTAATGCCACATAAGCTTAGTCAATGGTCAGAGGGGTTTAATATATGGTATTTTACTGAGTTTAAGGGTTCAATTGATAAAGAGTTAAGTAGAAGGGTCCATAATACAAACTCATATAAGTATAAGAGTCCATCAAACCATTTCGCCTAAAATATATTATGCTTGTTTGGTAAGAAATTGACACATTGTATTATAAGTGTATTAAAATGTGTGATAAATATATCATTCATCAATAAAACTTGTATTATATATGTTTTATAAATTGTTCTCTGTAATATGTAGAGCTGTCAAAAAGGGTCGGCCCAGCCCCATCGATCCCAAGCCTCGCGGGGCAAGAAATTTGAAGGGCTAGAGCAGGCCGACCCTTCATTTAGAAAGGCCTGAAAATGCTCAACCCAGCCCAACCCAGCCCTAGAAAGGCCGAAGGCTGGGGTGGGCTAGCCCTTCTTTTTTCATTTTTTTCTTTTCAAACTTATAATTCTATAACATCAAGAAAATGAGAAGATTTTCAAATCAAATATGACAAACAATGGTGTTGTTTCAATAACAATAGCAAAAAATATAGTATAATTAACATGTATCTCGCATACCGAATACGCAAGCGAGATAAGAAAGTGACAAGCAAGATGAGAGGGAAGCGAGAGCGCGAGATTTGTCTATGTATCCTAGTCTCCTAGATACATGCGAATCTACTTGGATAGAGTGTATCTAGAACAAATTAACCTAATATTGAGTCCATATATTCCGAGATACATGTATCTGGACGTACCAAAATCTGGTAAGATTCTTAATATTACAACATAGTGTGTATTTAAGTAATTATATTATATACTAGTGAGATTATTGTAAGTTACCCTTAAATAAAAAGTTTTGGCCCATGGACCGACCCTGGCCTGTCCCCGATCAAGCCTCAAGGGACAAGGGCTTATATGGGCCGGACTTATAAGCCCTAGTTTTAAATGAGTTTGAAAAATTCTATCCCAACCATACTCCAATAACGGGTTGGGTCGGGCTGGCTCCACGGGCTAACCCCGTTTTGATGGCTCTAGTAATATGTATTAAAATTGTATTATAAATATATTAAAAGTGATCAAGTAAGAAAATATTATTGATATAAATGATAAATATTTTTTTAATATAGTATATTTATGTAAGTTTCCCGATTGGAATTGCTTTGACGGTTTGAATTTGTACATCCTTTCTTTATTTACAAACCTTATCGTTTTACTTATTTATTTCATAGACAAATTAAGCAAAAACACCTCACATATTACAATATTAAGGTCCTAAGAAATTCTAGAGAAGAGGACAAATGTATCCCCTTAACTCTATAGAGTTTTGAAATTTAATACAAGGCTTCTAACATTTTATGAAACTTAGATATAAAAAAGGTATAAATGTAATTTAATTATTCTTTACAGATTAATAATTAATTCGATAAGAAAATTGAATAATTCATATCCCGTATTATTAGATATGTAATTATAAATTTTACTATGTTTACCAGCCATTAATTCGATAGTATACTATATATATATATATATATATATATTTGTTGTTAGGTTAGCAATTATGTTCCAATTTTGAACAACCCTAGTTGCAACAACTAGACATTCCAGGAAACGGATGCCCCGCTTAATAGAAATAGGATACAATCACCGACCGGTGAAAGGAAAGAGTTGGATCAACCATCGACAAAGGAATATCGAACTCTACCCGTGTAAAGTCTCGTAGCCAGGAGAACCATAGAATCAGAGAGTTATATTATAACATCAGTATAAAGGTTGAGAGGACACCTAAAAATAGCTTTAGAAGCCAGATTAGAGAAGTGTTTCCCGAGTTCGAGCAAATACAATGCGACATCTAGACAAAAAAGATGGGGACACCGGTGGAAAACCAAAAAATAATAATAAAAAATGAATATTCGTTTCAAAGCCAACCAATTTTTTTTTGGACCTCTAGAGTTTTGAAGCTTTAGAAGTACAACAAGTTATATGTTTTTGTATCAACTTCAAATATAAACACTTTCTTTTTCCTAAAATTCTATGTTAATTATGAAAAATAAATAATATTAGTATGATAATATAAAGAGTCTAATGATAAGATATGAATTAAGATTATCTCAATCCTAAATTTTCTCACCTGGGGTAGTTTGCAAGTTCACTAAAAAGTAGACATATGTTTAAAAAAAATTCTAAAAATATATCAATTCTCTTGAAAAATAAAGAATTATTAGTGCTCCACATTAATATATTAGGATTATTTTGAGTTAAACGTAAGAAACGGAAATAAATTATTATGCGATAAGTTATTCATTATGCATATAAAATAATTTATCTTATCATTATGATTTAAAATAAATAATTCAAAAACTACCTACTACCTCCGATTAAACTCATAATTAAAAAATCATACTAAAATTTATCCCAAAATTATTATAGCGGGTAGTTTATAGCTACACCAAATGACTGCTAAAGGACCATTTTTTTTTTAATTTCTCGGTGTTGACACCCAATTTTGGACCTCCACAATATAGATTAATCATTGAGCTTCTTCAATTTCAAACAATTTAAAATAATCAGTTTTATAAAAAGAATTAGAAAAAAAATAGTTGGTAAGTTATTTTAAAGAGTTTTGTCACCTTTTGTTAATAATTTTGAAATAATATATATGTTTTACATAATCATGTATATAATTAGTACATTTTATGAATATTCAAAAATCGTCTCAAAAAGATTTTAGTTTTACTTAAAATTTTGTCAATTAGTTTAGTTAATTAATAGTTAACATTTTGAATTAATTAGTTTAATTATTTTATTTTGTTAAGATTAAGAAGCTTATTTAATTAATTGAAAACAATTCATCTTATTTTTATTTCGGGTCAATTGCAATTCATGTGGTTATTTTCTTAATTCAAGTTTAGCACACTGTGCTTCATTTTGAAGACCCGAAAATTGGTTCAAATCCTATTTCCTACAGATACAGTAGCCCACCAAAAAGACCCAACCTGATCCAATACCCGGCCGGCCCAACTCTCTAATTCTCATACAATACCCAACAGCTACAATACATACCCAGAACGACCCGGTACAGCGTCTTCTTCTTTACGCGTACCCAGCGAAAATCGCCTTTCTTCACCCGATTTCCCCCCTTTTCCAGCCCCAAAATCCCTCTATAAAAATCTCTTTCCTTCTCCATTAGCAACAACTTTCGGAGAAAAAGAATCACTAAGCTGCAACAGTCATATAAGAAATACACCTTAAATATATATTTTCTTTCCTTGTTCGTGGGTTGCTAGGAGCTCCTGTAGTTTGAAGTTGGTGGTGAGGTCGTTCCAACCTCGGTTTCGCTGCCCGGAAAAAGGTAATGCTCTCTTCGTCTTTTTCTATTTCGGTATGACGTTTCGATATAGTGAAGTCACTATTTCGTTGTTACGTTGCTATGAATAATGGATTTTTAGTGATGATGGCTTGTACATGTATGTTTAAGTGATCCATTTGGCTTAGGCTTAATATCATTTTGCCATTTTAGCTTTAGTATGGTTGATTCTGTGTTTCATTGTTCTAGCTATTCGAATGTCGCCAAATCTGAGCTTTTTTCAATGTTTCTTTATCTGGTTTGTTACTCTTAGCATTGCTATCCATGTAAGTCTGAGTTTTTGAGATTAATCGATAAAGCCATCATGTGGTATGATTGCATTTTGTTCCATTAGCTTAGTTTGTCACTGTTTTCTTGTATCTCTCTGTTGTCTTATCGCTTATAGCGAATTATTTGAGCCTTCTTTCATGTCTCCATTTTTAATAACTTTGATTGTCACTCAACTATTAATTGTTTTCATAGAAAATCACTCAATTTTCACTTTCAACTCAAAAGTCACTCAACTATGATTTCTTTGCACAGAAAGTCACTCAATCTATTTTTAAAAAAATTTCATTAAAATTTAGTGACATGGAATTTTAATTATTATCCAAAATTTTAAGAACCAAATATATATCCATTTAAATCATTTAATTAATGACCCTCACCATTTAACCCGACCCGCTAAAAATATAATATTGAACATTTTATTTTACCATTATTCCCTAAATCATTCTCTCATTCTTTCCCTCCAACTTCTATTACAAATCAGATTAGACAGTACAGAAAGACGGTTGAACTCCAATCCTGGTGTAAGGAAATTCGTGAAGAAGGACATGGTGACAAGAAAGATGAGCCCTGGTGGCTTAAAATGCACACTGTGCAAGAGCTCATAGATTCTTGCACCATCATAATATGGATAGCTTCAGCACTTCAAGCAGCCGTCAATTTTGGGCAATACCTTGTGCATTTTCCCTTTAATTGTCACTAAATTTTAATGAAAAAAACACACACTTAACAATCACCTTAATTAAGTGGTTTAAATGGATATATATTTGGTTATTAAAATTTTGGTTAATAATTAAAATTTCATGTCACTAAATTTTAATGGAAAAAACAATTAAATAGGTTGAGTAACTTTTTGTGCAAAAAAGTCATAGTTGAGTGACTTTTGAGTTGAAAATGAAAGTTGAGTGACTTTCTGTGAAAACAATTGATAGTTGAGTGACCATCAAAGTTATTAACTCTTTCTTTTAGTCGAACAAGTGTTTGCTATTTGCAGTTGAGCTTTTAAAATGTGAGGCTTTTTTTTTTTTTTTTAGATGTTAAGCTTATTACAAGCTCTTGTTTTTCTCTTTAGATCACCACCTATTTTCTCTTTTCTGTTTGTCCTCGTTTAGTTCCTCATATTGATCCGAGTTTTTCTTATAAGTTGCATCAGCCTGCATAAGTCTTTAAATCAATCTGGATTTGGTTAAATACATGGTAGTTGATTACATTATGGTGTTCAATTATTCGGGTTTGTCGGGGCAGTAACTCTTGTGATAAGAGTGGTTATCAGTTAAGCTGTAGTTCGTTTAGCATATGAATTTGGTTGTTTTCAACTTCTACAATCAGTATAGCTGTACTACTCTTGCGCGTCTTAAACTTGGATGAACTTGCTTTGTTGTTTTCCACTGTTTAAGGGAAGAGCTTGCCAAATCTGTTTTAGACTGAGCTTAACCTCCAATTTTCCTCATTGTTGTTTCATGTTTGATTGAGTCATAAGAGTTTTGAATAGATTAATTCATTATGCTCGAATGTCTGTTCTCTCGCTCTATTTCTGAATGCATCGATTTTTTCTTTTATTTCGCATTAAAGTCGATGAGTTCGTAGCTTTGTTCTGAGAAATATTAGAATTTAGTTTGCTGATGTATACATGTCTGAAGTGGATCGTGAAGTGTCACTAAATTCTTGTCCCTTCCCTATATCTGTGCCTTGTCTTCTCATATCATTTATTCCCATGATTTTCTTATCAGTGTTCCATGTTGCTTCATTGTTGCTCGTTTCTATCGGAATTTGGTACTAATTCTCATCTGTTTTTGTTTTGTTTCCTGCCAAATCCCTTTTGAGTCCAAGTGAATTTTGTCTCGATATCTTGCATCTCCCAATGGCCAATATTCATATTTCTCGAGTCAGCCCCATGGAAAATTGTGAAGTATGTGAACAGGTCTTTGGAAGCTGATACAGGTTCCGAAGGTCCAATACAAAGATGGAAATTAACTTATTAAGTCTCGAAAATCCAGAAAATGAGTTGTATACACTGGTATACAGCCGAAAATATTGAAATACAGGTTGGGAAATGCATAAATACAAGGTTTAAGTCGAAATACAGGTTTCGGAAAGCCCAAAATGGGTCGGATACAGGCCGTATACAATAGTATACACCCAATATACGCAGAATATACAGGGAAGTGGACCAAAAGTCTAGGAAATTTCAGCAGCAGGTCCAGGCGAAAATTGGGCCCAGAGGGATGCCCAGTGAAATGAGTAGCAGTATATTTTGACAATTTGGGCCTAAACCCATGAATTTCAGTTATGTTGCAGATAGACAAGGCCCAAAGTGCAAGCAATATCAATCTTAAAGATTGAAGCTTAGAATTAGGGCGGTGGGCCTAAAGGCCCAATTTTTGCTGAATTTGGGCAAGGAGCCCAAGTTCAAATTTCTCTCTTTTCTTTATTTATTGTGTTAACTAACCTTTTATTTGAACTGGTTTTTACTTAATTAAATTTTCAAAAGAAAGTCATTTCTACTTTTATGCTCAAGTTAAAATATTTATATTTTATTTATTACTTATTTTCTTTATGAATTATTTTATTAGTTATCTTGTTAATATGAATTATTTTTCCTAAAAGATCCCTTAGTTTATTTCCCCTCAAAAATAAAAAATGAATTTTATTACTTAGTGATATTTTTTTTTTTAAAAAAGTTAAATATTAATCAAGTCATTGGTCAATCGCATGTTAGTGGATATTTCGAGGGCTTAACACTTTTTCGAATGTAAATTGAACCCCGAACCCTTTTTGAATTTTAAATGATTTTTTCTCTATTTTAAAATCTTTTGAAAATTTAATAAATTTTCTTAATTTCTTTCAAAAAAAAAATTAACTGACCTCTTTCTTTGAAAATAATTTTTCTTCCAAACCTAAGTTAAATTGACTTTTCGAAACTAGTCATTTTTATTTTCCAAAAACACTCAATACACTTCACACCTTCCAGAGTAGCATTGAATTTCATATCGTAGGAAGCAAATGCCATGGAATCTTATCTTCTTCTTCTTCAAGTTTTCTTGAAGTTCGAGCCTTAACGCATAGCATATTCAATCCTTCACGGCACTGCATTAAGGACCCACAATTTATATGGTATCCTTGTTTTCCCTTCATTTTCCCGTGAACTCATTGAAGTTTGTGTCTTTTTATATTCATTCAGTTCTGGTAAGTCTATATTGTTGATAATCAGTAGGAATTTGGAAACCCCATTTGTGAATTTGAACTAAAGTTTTTTTTTTTTTTGTTGTTGTGGGATTTTGTAGAAATGGAGTTAGGGCTGGTCACCCTGTTGAGAGCTGCATGGGTTGCTGCGATATTGCCCGTTGTTATCGCTTTGATTCCTTCATCCAAGATCAGTTTTTTTCAACAATTCGTGTTAGGGTTTGCTAAGCGTGGCAAGATTATGCAGTCTTCATCAAATGTAAGTATTCATTCAAAAATTGAAATCTTGTTGCTTGCGTGTTTGTGTTCTTACAATCTCTTTAGCTATCACTAAACATTCAAGCATTGTATAGTTCAATTGATTTAAGTTTTTCTTCTAAGATTAATCAATGTATATTATTTGGTCGTTGGCGTGTAGTTTTGGTTCCCGAAAGAAATAGTGTACCCAAGACTAGCTCAACTTTCCGTATTCACAATTGAAACGGGCATCCACCTGAATAATTCTCTGACTATACAATAACTACATGACTATAACAATTTCCCCCCTCCTCAAACTGCATCCAAGCTGTAGTTTCAGAGTCTCAACCTCACGACTTCCAGAACCTTGCATGCATTCTGGCATGTTAACTATTGAAGACCATGCTTTGTAATCCATACGAGCTGAATACAAAGTTTGTTAGTTCTGCTTAAATTTCTCCTACATCGTAATATCTCAATCTTGGTTTAGTTTCATGACTAAAGAAGTGAGATTTAAGCCATCTGAAGATGTTTAGAACAGGAATGTAGTGGTCATTGGCACAAGGCTAAGGTTTAATTGCTGCTAGGCTTTGAGGTTGTTGTTCTTGAAGGAAGGGTCGACATGGTGGCATAAATCGAACAACGAAGATGACTGGTGTCCTCTTGCTAAACTTAGAACTGTGTGAATCTGGATATTTGTTCTTAAGTTGAAGCTTTGATTAAAAATTGTTAGTTAGGGTGTGTAAACTTAGGGAGGCAATGTTGGATGAGATTAAGAGTGTAGATATTTCATTAGGTGCTCTGTCAGAGGCGCGCACTTTCGAGAAAGTGGAGGGCAGCAATTGCATTGTCCCTTTATTTTACAGCAGCATCTCACTCAGCAAATGCGGTATCTCACTGCTGCATTGCAAAATCTACATTAATACAGTCTGATCCCCTGAAGGCTGGTATTGGAGCTAAGCAAATTAGAAGGGGATCTGAGCAGGATACAAATGTTAACACATGATTTTGGGGTGAATTGGGCGTTGATTGTATCCACTGCTGCAGGATCTCTAATCATCTTCATTGAACCAGATAGATAATCATCTTCATTCAATGTTTTTAGCAGAGTGTTGTACTGATCAATTTTTGGTAGTTGTCTGACCGATACATTGATGAATACTGAAAATGTACCTTTCAGAAATTTGTGATATCACTGTCTATTGGCAGGTTTCCATCTTCTGAAGCGCAGCGCTAATATATCTTTCTTGATCCTAGTGTGTCTTCTATCATGCCATGTTCGCCTTGCACTTATCCATTCAACTTTAGTAAAAAAATTTCTGTTGTTTGAAATAATGTTCAGTTTCAATTGTTTGAAATAATATTTGGTGACTTGTGTCTTGTTACAAAGTTCTATTTCATGTACATGGTCACTTGTCTCATGTTACAAGCTTAAGTATGTGGTATTTGCAACCCTTGTAAGAGTTGTATAAGGTAGAATGAATCCTCAAAGTACTTGTTATTATTATGTATAAATAAAGTAAGTTTGTAGTTGCAAGCACAACTGTGTTATATGGATGATGACTAGTATTTTTTAAAATATCAATTGTTTCTTCTCTGGCAATAGCTATTTTCTGTGAAAATGAAAATTTCTGCAACTTCTAAAAGAATAAAAAGTTTCTGCAACAACTTAATTGACCTGACACTCTTTTTGGTTTGTTCAATTGCAGAAATTCGCTGTTCCACAGAAACTCTTCATTCACTTCTATATTCTAGCTTCTGTTTGGACAACACTTCTGTTAGCTGCAACCTGGCTTTATGCTTATAGTACAGTGCCAAAGATCTCAGAACCATATCTTTTTTCTAGTATTGCTAGCCACTTGACGGGAGGATCACGTATCTTCTCTTTCCACAGTTCTCATACATCAAAGGAGCATAGAAGCAGGATTGCTGTATCGATCTTTCTGCTTTTATTAATGGAAGCTCAAGTACTGCGACGCCTGTTTGAGTCAATATACGTGTTTAAATATAGTCCTTCAGCCAGGATGCACATTTTAGGCTACCTCACCGGTTTATTGTAAGTTGGTATCTCACTTTGTCTCTTTTTTTCGTAAATATTTCCATATTTCTTGTTGCGTTTTATCAGCTGACTCCTAGTGTGTTCTGTGTGTCTGTTATTTTCTTTTCTTTAATTGGAACTTCAATTTTGGCCATTGTGAGAAATATTGGAGAAGAATATTATTGAATTGTTGTTTTAATTATTACATAGAGAACCCTATTTATAGACACTACAATACAATTCCTTACCAAATAGGAGACTATAAACTATTGCTATTCTGTGTAGGATTGTGTGTACATATTCTATTCTAACACTCCCCCTCAAGCTGGTGCATACAAATTATATGTACCTAGCTTGTTACAAATGTAATTAATACGAGGACCGGTGAGGGACTTGGTGAAGATATCTGCAAGTTGATCATTTGACTTCACAAATTTAGTAACAATATCTCTTGAGAGTATCTTTTCTCTGACAAAGTGACAATCAATCTCAATGTGTTTAGTCCTCTCATGAAACACTGGATTTGATGCGATATGAAGGGCTGCTTGATTTTCACACACAAGTTCCATATGACCGGTTTCTCCAAACTTCAGTTCTCCAAGCAACTGTTTAATCTAAACTAGCTCACAAGTTGCTACAGCCATTGCTCGATATTCTGCTTCTGCACTAGATCGAGCAACCACACTTTGTTTCTTACTCTTCCATGACACCAAATTACCTCCAACTAAAACACAATATCCGGATGTAGAACGTCTATCAAAGGGTGATCCTGCCCAATCAGGCCTCGGCTTAAATCATAGTTCATAAATCATATTGTTGCAGCCTTGGCTCAAATCATAATTCATAAATCATATTGTGAAGACTTGGGTCAAATCATATAGGTTTTTCTTTTATAAGCAAGTTCTTGAAAGAAATTATGAGAAATCTGAAGAAAATATTATTGATTGTGAACTTTCATTATTATATAGAGAACCCTATTTATAGACACTAAAATACAATTCTTTACCAAGTAGGAGACTATAAACTATTCCTATTATGAGTAGAATTTGTATACCTAGTCCTATTCTAACACTCCCTCTCAAACTTGTGCATACAAATTATATGTACCTAGCTTGTTACAAATGTAATTAATACGAGGACCGGTGAGGGACTTGGTGAAGATATCTGCAAGCTGATCATTTGACTTCACAAATTTCGTAACAATATCTCCTGAGAGTATCTTTTCTCTTACAAAGTGACAATCAATCTCAATGTGCTTAGTCCTCTCATGAAACACTGGATTTGATGCGATATGAAGGGCCGCTTAATTATCACACACAAGTTCCATATGACTGGTTTCTCCAAGCAACTGTTTGATCCAAACTAGCTCACAAGTTGCTACAGCCATTGCTCGATATTCTGCTTCTGCACTGGATCGAGCAACCACACTTTGTTTCTTACTCTTCCATGACACCAAATTACCTCATACTAAAACACAATATCCGGATATGGAACGTCTATCACAGGGTGATCCTGCCTAATCAACATCTGTATATCCGGTGATATGCTTATGGCCTTGATCCTCGAAGAGTAGTCCTTTACCAGGAGCTGACTTTATATATCGCAGAATACAAACAACTGCATCCCAATGACTATCACAAGGAGAAGTCATAAACTGACTTACGACACTCATAGGAAAAGAGATGTCCGGTCTAGTCAACATGAGATAATTCAACTTTCCAACTAACCGTCTATACCTCTCAGGATTACTGAGTTGCTCCCCCTGTCCTGGGAGGAGTTTAACATTCGGATCTATAGGAGTGTCAATAAGTTTACATCCCATCATTCCTGTCTCCTCAAGAATATCTAAAGCATACTTGCGTTGAGAAATAACAATACCTAATCTAGACTGAGCAAACTCAATACCTAGGAAATACTTCAGTCTGCCGAGGTCTTTAGTTTGGAAATGTTGAAAGAGATACTGCTTCAAATTAGCGATACTAACTTGATCATTGCCGGTGAATACGATATCATCAGCGTAAACAACCAAATAAATACACAAATTTGGTGCTGAATGCCGATAGAACACAGAGTGATCAGCTCCACTACGAATCATGCCAAACTCCTGAAATTACTGTACTAAACTTTCCAAACCAAGGTCAAGGAGATTGTTTCGGACCATAGAGTCACCGACGCAATCGACATACGAGGCTTCTAGACTCCCCCTGAGCATCAATACCAGGTGGTTGCTCCATATAGACTTCTTCCTCAAGATCACCATGCAGAAAAGCATTTTTAATGTCCAACTGATGAAGAGGCCAATGACGAACCACAACCATAGATAGAAAAAGACGGACTGATGCTATTTTGGCCACAGGAGCGAAAGTATCACTATAATCTAGCCCAAATATCTAAGTATACCCTTTGGCAACAAGGCGAGCCTTAAGCCACTTGACCATCTGGACCAATTTTGACCGCATAAACCCAACGACAACCAACAGTAGACTTACCTGAAGGAAGGGAGACAAGCTCCCAAGTACCACTCGAATGTAAAGCAGTCATCTCATCAATCATAGCCTGCTTCCATCCAGAATGAGAAAGTGCTTCTCCTGTAGTCGTAGGGATGGAAATAGAGGACAAAGATGATACAAAGGCATAATGGGGTGAAGATAAACGATGATAACTCAAGAAAGTATAATGTGGATTAGTATTTCGAGTAGATCGTATACCTTCTTGAAGTGGAATGATTGGCTAGCAGGAGGCAAGGCCGCAGTGGGAGCAGGGTCCGGTGCATGACATGAATCATTTGAGACTATTGCTCGACGTGGACGCCGATGATAAGTTAGGAGTGGTGGCACTGCAACTTGAGATGGGGAAGTAACCGAAGGTCCTTCAAAAGTCGGTACAGGCAAGACCTGAGGTATGGGCAAGACCCCAGAGACATCAGGACGATCAGAAGATGTGTAGTAAGGTTGAGATTCAAAGAGTGTTACATCAGTAGACATAAGATATCGGCGGAGATCATGTGAATAGCAACGATACCCTTTTTGAACTCGAGAGTAACCAAGAAAGACACATTTAAGAGCACGAGGGGTTGAATTTATCTTTTCCTAAGGCTAAGTTATGAACAAAGCATGTGCTCCCAAATACACGAGGAGGGATAGAATAGAGATGTGGCTGAGGATATAGTATGGAATATGGAACCTGATTGTGAATAGAAAATGAGGGCATTCTATTAATTAAATAACAAGATGAAAGGACTGCATCTCCCCAAAAACGCAGCGGAACATGAGATTCAATGAGGAGAGTGCGAGTAGTCTCAATGAGATGCTTATTCTTTCTTTCTGCTACACCATTTTGTTGAGGAGTGTATGGACAAAATGTTTGGTGAATAATTCCTTGGTGAGACATAAACTCTTGAAACTGGGATGATAAGTATTCTAAGCCGTTATCACTACGAAAAGTACGAATAGAAACACCAAACTGATTTTGTATTTCAGCAAAGAAACTTTTGAATATAGAAAATAACTCAAAATGATCTTTCATTAAGAAAACCCAAGTACATCTCGAATAATCATCAATGAAACTAACAAAATAACGAAATCCTAAGGTGCAACTGACTCTACTAGGACCCCAAATATCAGAATGAACTAATGAAAAAATAAACTCTGAATGACCCTCAGTACCACGTGAAAATGTGGCACGAGTGTGTTATCCAAGTTGACACGACTCACAATCTAATTTGGATAAACTAGATAAACTAGGCACCATTTGTTGCAGTTTGGATAGACTCGGATGTCCCAAACGTTTGTGAATGAGGTCCGGAGGATCTGTAACGGAGCATGCCGTGAAGGAAGTTGAAGAGGTAAGATAGTAAAGGCCTTGTGATTCATGTCCTGTGCCAATCGTCTGTCCCGTACTGCGATCCTGCATGAGAAAAAAATCATCAAAAAAGGTTATGCTACAATGTAAGGCACGTGTCAAACGACTAACAAATGCCAGATTAAAAGGAGAACCAGGGACATAAAGAACAGAGTCTAGAGTGACAGAAGATAGAAGTGTGGCTTTTCCAACCCCTTTTGGCTTTGTTTTTATCCCATTGGCCAAAGTAATAGCAGGAAGAGATTGTGAATAACAATATCTGACAGAAGTGATTTGTTACCAGAAATATGATTAGAAGCGCCCGAGTCCATAACCCATGATCCATGAGTATTAGACTGTGAAACACAAGCAAAAGAATTACCCGCAACAACAACATCATGTTGAACAACCGAAGCTACTTGTAAAGACCTTTGCTTACTTGCTCGACATTGAAGAAACTCATCATGTTCTGATTGACCAATATGAGCATTATGGGATGGTCGATCAGGCGGAGCAACAAATGCTTCTTTTGAAGATGTTTGCTTACTTGCATGATTACGAAGGAACTGATTATATTCCTTTAGAACAACAAGATCATAACTGGGTGGTGGACCATGCAAATTATGACATATGTCACGAGTGTGTCCAGACTTGTGACAATAACTACACTTGGATCGAGGTTTTCCAAGACAACCTCCTCCTCGTCGATTCTCCATAGATGGATATGCTCGTTTTTCTATGGTTTGAGATGCGAGAGCAGATGAGTCAATGGTCGGTGATGAAACTACTTTGTGGCTGGGAGGCGCGGCAAGACGAAGTAGACAAGTAAATAATTCATCAACGCTAGGAATTGTAGGACTAGCTAAAATTTGATCACTCACTGAATCATGGTCAGTAGGAAGTCCAGCAAGTGTAAGAACTAGAAACAATGTATGTATGTGCTCTTGTTGTTTTTGCACGCTCGTGGTGACTGGCATCAATGTTTCAAATTCCTCCATGACTGCCTGTACTTGTCCCAAGTAGGTGGACATATCTGATTCTTGTTTCTTTAAGTTGGTCATACGAGATATCACATCCTAGAAACGAGATATGTCATTAGTGTATAAAGCACGAGCCTTTTCCCAAATTGAATAACATGTTTGGAATGGACGGAACGAGGGCATTAACTTGGAATCAATAGATCACCATAGGAGACTACATAATTGTGCATCAACCTTCTCCCATTGTGCTTTGGCTTTTGCATCTTCCCCACTAGCCTTTGCCTTTTCATCTACAACACAAGCAATGTTCGTTAAGTGATCTTGGACACCTTGACCCTTGCACCACAACTCAACTGAGGAAGCCCAAGCTAAATAGTTGGAGCTTACCATTAACGGTTCTGAAGTGATCATAGGGCTTGAACTTCCAATTCCTATATTCTTGGAGCCAAAAGTATCAATCCCGAAAGACATGTTGTGAAATTAGAATATGTAGCCAAAAAAAATAAAAAAATAATAAGAAACTGTAATGAGTAGCCAAAAAACTGGATTTTTTTTTCTTTCTGTCGGAATTTGGAAAAGAAATAGGTTGTTGCCGGAAAAGTAGATCTGATTGCCAAATATTGGTCGGAATCAGGAAAAAATTATATGGTCAGCCTCGGAATGAAGAGGCGACCCAGATAGGAAAAAAAATTGTCGAAAAACTGGCCGGAACAGGTCTCACGCGCCGGCGCGTGGATCTGACAACTCACCGGAGAAATTCTTCCGGCGGCGCGTGACGGCGCATGTAGCACTAGTTTCCGTCGGGGATGATTGGGGTTTGCTCGCCGGGAAGTTCCCCAGCTAGTGGTGGTGTTAATTTTTGAAAAACAGTGACTGAAAATATTAATTACCCGGACAGCCACTAGGTTACCGGAAAAAACTGCACAGTGCGATTTTTTTTTCTTTTTCTCTCACAATTGCTCTGATACCATGTGAGAAATATTGGAGAAGAATATTATTGAATTGTTGTTTTAATTATTACATAGAGAATCCTATTTATAGACACTACAATACAATTCCTTACCAAATAGGAGACTATAAACTATTCCTATTCTGTGTAGGATTGTGTGTACATATTCTATTCTAACATCCATCATTATTTTACTTTGATCAAAATTTCCATGGCCTAGTAAAAGGGTCTAATATTTGACCATTAGGTGTCTTATCTTTTTATGCAGCATATTTTCTTCATCTATATGCAGAATTTCCAACTAGACTTTAGTTTTGATAAACTGTATTGTAATTGTATAGAAAATTATTTGAAATAATTCACACTTTATAGAAGTCGTAGTCACTGTTTCCTGTTTGGACAACACTAGTATATTCTCTTTTAGTGCCTAACTTCTTATAGTTTCCACAATACATCAACTCCAAGTTGTCAGATGGACAAAAGACTTGCTGAATTTTGTTCTTTTTCTTGATTCAAGCTTCTATACAGCAGTTCCCATCTCTCTTTGCTGCAATCATGCTACAGAGGTATACAAGTTCGGGTTGAGTTTGATTCAAGAGTTTATTGTCAAAGGAAAAGATAGGATGCTAACAACTGAGGTTGATTGGTGGAGATTTTTGAACCCTCTCATTCAACTACGATGGTACTCATGGATTGGTGCAGCTATATTTTTTTGGGGCTGGATTCATCAACACCATTGTCATGCAATTCTGGTAAGTGGCAGGTGCTATTGAATATAGATTTGGATTTGTCTTTGAGTTAGGAGTGTCTTTTGGTTGCTTGGTTAATATATTACGTGCTTGTCCTTGGGGCCTACCTCTTCTATATGAGGATTTATTAGTTATTATAATTTATTTTGTGGAAGAAAAAAGGCTACTGGTGGTTTCAATAAAAACCTAAAAGAGGTTTTAACTGTAGTCTGAAAACTGTGTAGAGTGTTAATCATTTTCCTTTCACCTAATGGTTTCGGTCTCTTAAGTCCTTCTCATTCACTTGAGCTCACCCACCTTCATCAAATAGAGCACAATCACCACATTAGAAGAATTGAACTTAAAAAACACGAAATAAGTGTGGCATATTGGGAGTAGTTATCTCCTGACTGAGATAAGCTCATATTTAAATAGATGAAGCAAAAGCACTTCTGATTTTCAAGTTAGAGTCAACTAATTTTTATTTGCTTCCATGTGATTATACTGACTTTGCTATTATTTACCTATAAAAAAAGGGCATCCCGGTGCACAAAGCATCCCACTTTCGTGCAGGGTCTGCGGAAGGGTCGCACCCAAAGGGTGTGATGTAGACCACCTAGCCTAATGCAAGCATTAGTGACTGCTTCCATGGCTTGAACCCGTGAACTATAGGTCCACGGAGACAACTGAACCGTTGCTCCAAGGCTCCCCCTTCACCTATAACAAGAAAATCTCAATCTATTCACCGAAATGGACTAAAGCTAAGTATATTAATTGTGGCACTCTGGTCAAGGTTGGATCAAGGTAAGAATATGGATTCTTGACTTTGAGAATTTCGAAGGTACTAGATGTGGATATGTGTGCATAGGCGATGGATCTCACTGTCATTAAGACTGATGTAGAGTTAGTTCTTTTCATAAGGCACATTGGTGGTTAAGAGGTTGTGAGCTCTGATAACTGTAGCTGCTCTAGATATTATTACTGGATGTGTTTTACTTTATGGTTGATTCTCATTGAGAGATTGCAAGTACAAGGATGAACAGATAGTGAGGTTGATGTGATAGCATATGATGATACAATAGTTGAATCAATAGCCTGTGAAGGTGAATAACCGAGCTTATCCACTTCTTTTATTTATTCTTATACGCTGGATAAATTCATTATAAGCTGAAGCAATAAGTTGAAATTCAGCTTAATGATAATTATGGAGGTGCAAAATACACTGCAACAAAAGTACAGGAGCTTTTTAGAAGTTTGACTAACTTCTACATCTGTTGCTTCATTCTGTTGTTTTTTAATTATTCTGGTGGTTCTTAAAATTTTCTTTACTAAATTTCCCTGTTAACATAAAGGCATTTCTCTTTGAACTTGACAGCTGATTCTTTTATTATGTTTGTGTCGGTTATTGAGGCGTAGTTGTTGTATGATTGTGATGGTTGCCTTAGAATTCCTTAGATCATCACTGTGATAATATCTTTACATTGCCAATCAGGGTTCATTGAGGGAGAACAGAGAAGACAATGACGAATATGTAGTTCCTCATGGTGATTGGTTTCAATATGTTTCATCTCCACACTATTTGGCTGAGATTGTAACTTCTCTTTCTCTTACTAATGTTCTAGGAGTATTTATTTCATGTCTCAGTACACACAAGAAGCTGACCTTTCCAGGTTCTAATTACAAGTTCCTTTTTGCTGTTCACTTGTACTTAAGGTTGTATATGCTGGCTTTGTGGTTGCTAGTGGATGTTCGGACCTCACAATATGGCTACTCTGGGGATTCACGGTACCAACTCTATTCAAAATCTTGAGAAGTACCCCCACTTCCCCACCCTGTGTTCATTTTCATTCGGCAGCGTGATGCATGATGTTGCAATTTCAGGTGGCAAATCTTGTCTTAGCAGCAGCAGAAACACATAGATGGTATTTGCACAAGTTTGACAACTATCCTAGGAATCGTTTTGCTATTTTCCCATTTGTTTATTAATGCTTAATGACCAAGTTCTGCTATATTATTTATTTGAGCAGAACTGTGTATGTATATATAGGTTCTGTTAGCTAGATGTGAATTGTTTCTAGCCATGGATACAATTCTATGGATCTGATTATGCCCAGCAGTTTTTGTAAGCACTTCTGATCCTTTTTTTTTTTGGGCCAATTGCTTTATCTATCATGTAACATAAATGAATGAAATTTGTGTGGATGTTACTGCACTAAGTTGCAGAAGTGAAATTCCTTATTGTTTGCCTTGTGTTTCAAGGACCTTTTTCAGTTCCATCAGACAACATTTATGCTATTTCTACAGTAGTCAAATTAACCTCTTTTTGAGTAATCGACCGAACTTGTTCAAGTTAAAAATGGGTGGGACTGTAAAATTGAACCCGAAATGACCTGTCAAACTAGTAGGCCAAAGAAGTGAAACCTGCAGGATGAAATACACCTTAAACCCAACATACAATATCAAATTATATGCAAATAATTTAAGAAAATATATTAACATCCGCACTTTTTTCAAAAATCAAGTAAAAGAGATAGGAGGATGAATCATGTTGTACGGGGTGGGTTATTACTCGTTATTTGATCAAATAACACATTTTGAGCCAAGCAAATTTTGAAAAATGAGTGATCTTTGAACTCTTGATCCCGCTTACCCTATGTGCAAATCTTCAAGATCAAAAGTTGTTAACTTTAAGTTTTGCCAAAGGTCAATAGTTCAAGACCACTCATCTATATAGCTATTCTTGTAAATCACCCCCAGAATTTGACAACCACTAGCTATTATGTTAAAGATAGAGAATTTTGCAGCATTTTAGTAGCCAATAGCTTTATTTGCCGTTGGATGGGAGATGTGTTGGCCCAATATGCACACTCTCCCAGAAACTAAACCAACCACCATCCATCAGCCTTGGTACACAAGTTCGAAATGGATAAAAACATAACTACATCATAGGTAGAGCAGTGAATGGTCTCTCTCATGCTAAACATAAACTCACTTTTCCATATTCAAATGAGATGCTGGTCTAAGTAGCTTAGTCCCCTATCCTGGTGCCTTTGGTGTCAAAATGAGACATGAAGCTTTTAGGCATACAGATCTATGCCCCAAAACTTTGCAGGTTGGTTGGTCCTATAGTTGCGGTCCAAACTTTTGATGAGGTCCATGTCTTCTTTAGTGAGCTCGAAGTCAAGAACGTTGAAATTCTCCTGCAGTCTCTCCAGTTTTGATGATTTCGGAATCACAACTGTGTTTCTTTGGATACCCCAACGCAGAATAACCTGGGCCACAGTCTTATTATATTTTTCAGCTAAACCCTGATGCAATAAGTAAAATACAAAACAACCTCAATTACACCAAACCAGCAAATATGAAACAATTTTTTTGTGAAACTTCCAGAAGAACAGTTCACGAAATATGGAAAATATAAGAGCACAAGGATTTACTTTTAGAGCTGGATCTTCCAGGCAAGACACTGAACCAAACCATTCAGTATTAGCAGCAGCACCACCAAGTGGGGTGTGTGCTGTAACACAGATGTCATGCTTTTGGCAAAATTTGACAAGAGATTCACGCTGGAAATAAGGATGGGTCTCGATTTGATTCACAGCAGGCTTCACTTTGGAATATGCTAGGCAATCTCGGGTGAGAAAGATGTCGTAGTTGCTGCACATCGACTCCCATTGCAAGAGTAAGAATACAATCCCATTAGTTTGAAAAATAATTCAAATGTTAAATAGCATAGCATGATAACATACTGCTTGCGCCTAAACTAACGTAGTTATGCACCATAACTGAAAGTAAACATGTAAAGTTGTAGGTGATAGAGTTGACTTCTCACAATTTTATAATGGCTGTAGACAAGACAAGACGACTTCAAGAAGGATGAATTCATTTCAAGCAATACTGAGCAGTTAAGTCTGTGATTCGCAATTTTCAATTTTTCAAAAAGTGCCTATATTTGTATTGAAAATTAAATTTCTTTTTTTAGATTTGTTTGTTCGTTGAAACACTATGAGTTTGTCAGAGCATTGGTGCAACACAAACTAAGTGGAGGAAATGGCTAGATAAATGGCCAAACAATATCTAGTTTTTGTCAACAATGCCCGACTTCAGCAATAAGATTGTCCACAGCACGATAGTATCATGAAGCAGAAGAATGAATCTGCTGGCCATAGCAGCTGAATAAAGGGGAGTACAGGTTTTTTAGTCGTAAGCCTACCTGATTCCTATGCTGCGGACCAAGCCCAGGGATACTAGATTTTCCATTCCGTGCCAAGTAGTCTCCAATGATATGGTGGTATCAATATCAAGAACACCATCCTCACCCAATGCACTAGAGGTTGTACCAACTCCTGAATGCATTTATAAGAAACACAATGCGCCATTTCAAAAGGAGAAAATTCTTGATTTCAAGCCAAGGCCAAGATTAAAGTAGAGTATTGATTACTAGATGTTTAAATCTATACTATATGTATTGAAATCAAATATTGATTTTGCTGAATAGTTCATTTGGGTTTTAAGTCATATAAAGTCAAATCACCAAATAATTGGAAATCAGGAAATTTAAGCATCAATATTCAGCTAACAATCACTATGTGCCTTTGATCCAAGCAGTACTTGTCAAAATACCAGCTATTCGTTTTGCCATACAGTTATTATGTACAACATCCTTCAGTGTGAGATGTGCAATAAGCATAATAATCATGATCTGAATGATAAAAATGCAATAGCTAATATGCTGTATCAGCCATAAGTTATGGTCTTCCCCCCTCACAACTCAAAAAAAGGAAACGGAAAAAAAGAGATAAATGCACAAAAGTTTGAAGAAGTCAAAGGTAATAAGACCAGCAGCTTTACCTGTATGTTTTGTGGCTATGGGGAAGTGAACAAGGTAGAGATCCAGATAATCCAGGCGTAACTTCTTAAGACTGTCTTTACAGGCCTCAAGAACATGACCATGGTCTGAGTTCCAAAGCTGCAAAAAAGAGAGTCGATACTCATTGCCAGCTATATGTAATTCTCAGTGAAATGCTAAAACTGAGTCGACAGATGAAATTAACATTTTTGCACTAACCTTTGTAGTAATGAAAAGATCCTCCCTCTTCACGATCCCCGTCTGAAATGCTTCTGCGAGTGCTTCCCCAACTTCAGCTTCATTTTGATAGTCAGCTGCAAGCATTACCAAATGTCAGGTGACACTATTCCAAGAACATATATAGTAGCAAAGACACATTCAAAAGTTAAGTGGATCAGTGACGAGTAGCATTACACCTATTACTTGTTTGTGACAACGCGCACACCCTTAACATAAATATACATCTTTAAACATTTTTTAAAACATAAGGGTATGTCCAAGCAGCTTACTTGTTCCACCTGTTACCTGCTACCTCCCACTAGCAGATGTATGGGTAAGTGATAACTATCCCCACCAAGGCTTAAGCAGATGTGGAAGAAATCTAGTTACTTTATTAAGTATTGTTTTTTGTTTCTGCAGGGACTTAACCATCTACTTACTAAATATACATAACGCGTGTGGAAGAAAATCGATGCAGCTGAAACTTTACTTAAAGGTGGTATTCTCCACAACCCCAACTAGTAAGGAGCAAGATTCTATTTTAAAATGATTTAAGGGAGGGGCCATAGTCCATACCTAGTGTTATCAAAAGCAAAAAAGCACAAAAAGTTCGATAAGTATGTTAGGACTATAGAGGGAAAAAAATACAGATATATATGTATAGTGTATCCTCGGAAAAAGGAAAAGTGTGTCTTTTAACTTGAGGATGATACATTTAAGCCCACATTAAGCGAGACAAAACACTCAACATGTTTTAAACCTAGCTTTAGGACTAGAATGGTCATACAACTAGTTATAACTTATACTAATAGTTAAGTAATTAAGACTAAAAGTACAATCCAGAATTACCCATGAGTGAAAATCAAGAAATCACATACAATCTAGCAAATCCAAACGGATGAAATTTTTCTAGCTATCTAATCAAGAATCAAGAATCAAGAATCAAGAATGAAAAGAGCAAGAAAGTAAAATGAAGAAAAAAAGAAAAGTAGTTACCAGCACAATCAAAGTGACGGTAGCCAATCTTGATGGCGTTGATGAGAAGATCTTTTATATCTTTTCCTTCCATTCGCCAAACACCCAATCCCACAATCGGCATCTTGTAGCCGCTCTTCAGTGTTATCGCCATTTCTGCTCTCTGTGTGTGTGTTTTTCTTGATTACTTGAAACTAGTGAACCTGCAATTGACTGGTGTTTCACTGTCTTATATAAATGGGCTTGCAAAAAGTTTTATGGGCTCCCAATTTTATTTGTTGGCCCAATTAGTCTTCCCAGCATGTCGAAGGGAAAATGACAACTAACAACACAGATTGAATTGAAAAACGATTGTCTTAGAATCGAGAGTTTATCAAAAATAGTCTTTAAGCACCGTAAACATCTTATCCTCTCTGGACCCATTTGTGAGACTATAGTGGGTATCTTGTTGTTATATTTACAATTACTTTTCGAATATCTGATATGGAATGTAAAAGTATTTAACACACCTAAATATGTGGCTTAGTGGTCAAATGAAATATTTTGTGACTCAAGATTTTCGTGGTTTAATGACTAGATAATCAATATTGGGGAGAGAGGTAGTCAGCCAGAAACTAGTGTCATCAAAATTTGCAAATGCCTACTTGGTTTATGTCAAAATCAACAAACAGTAAGTCTCATAGTCATTTTGACAAGCAAATAGAAAATTACATAGGTAATTCCTCAAAATGTGGAATTTAAAGGTAAATGTTGAAAAGCAATGTGTGATTAGGCAGAAAAAAGAACATAAAGTCTCATTTATAATATTCTCACTAATTGGTGTGGTGGGGTGGGGGTTCCTTTGTTCTTACAATCCAAAGAGCCGCATCGGAGTCTAAAAAATCTTAAAAACTGTTTTTGCCGATAAGGAATCTCATTCACTGTACAAAGCAACATTAAAAATCTGTTATCTTCATTCCTATGGTAGTGGATATATGGGGCAATTCGTATCTTACCAGCACAAAACAAAAGCAACTCTCTACAACTAAAAAAATACTTTGAATTTTAACAAACTTTATACACACACCACATGACCTGCGAAAGCACAACTCTTTTTCTGTTTCAAAGGCGACTATGTCATCAATAAACAAATACATCTCAAAAATTCAATAACGTGCCAAAGATGAACAAATCTCTCCAGTCCACCATTAATCAATAATCTAAACGTGTCAAGAAGTTAAAAATGATACAGCTCCACCTACCCTTTGTACAAAATAATTTAGGCAAGTAGCCAACAACATTATCATTAACGAATCTAATCTAAGCCACGATGATGAGAATCTCCACCTACCCACCCATAAGCTGCGGAGGTTTTATCTTTCAATTTCAATTTGGACAAATAGCAGATCATCATATACTAAAACAAAATGAAGGCGGAAAAGAGGACGAACCATACATGAAATTGATTCAGTCATAACATAAGCTTACTTGCAACATAGATGACAGTCTACTGCATCTTTTTCAAACTAGACAAACGAAATGTAACATGCACCAACTAAGGGGTGGGATTATTGAAAAAAACAGACGACCTCGACGACAAACTGGAGATGCTAACAAGACACTTCAAGCAGTTCAGTAGGACCAAATCTCATCTTCCTCTGTTGCACAATCTGCAGCATTGTCTTCACTGTAATAGTAATAGCCACCATTATTGGCATTGGCATTGGCACTGGCAGTGGCAGTGGCTTCTGCAGTGAAGCAGCAAGACGAAGACGACGACACAAGGTAAGGCATGTTGTGGAAGGACTGAGCTAAGCTGCTGGTCAAAGATGCAAAGGCAAGACCTTTATCTTCTCCTTCTCCTTCTCCTTGTTCCAAGAATTCCTCTGCACGGTGCTTGAGAGTCTCGAACATGAGTTCAGGCTCAAACTGCATCGCCCGGAGAACGTCAGCACAGGATGGGCCAGGGACAGAGCGAGTCACCGCAAAGCTGTGAGGGCTATCGCTCTGCAACACGCGAACAACGCTTGGTCCACCAAATAGATTGTGGAGTCCTCCGAGCGCCTCCTCATAAGCCCCACCCAAAAACATCCCCAGATAATACCGCCCACCATCACCACCGGCATTACTTCCAATTTCATGGAGCGGCAAGCTTGATTCGCCCCCAATGAACTTATCAACCTTTCCATCACTGTCACACGTCAGGTCAGACAGTATTCCTCTCATGGTAGGCTTTTCATCCAGACGGTGAATTGGAACAATAGGAAACAATTGGCTGAAGCCCCAAAAATCAGGAATTGAGGTGAAAACTGAGAGATTCACATGGTAAGTGCGTACAGGATCAGCAACCCCGATAGCCTTGGACACCCAATCGCATATGCTATCCACTGCGGCCAGCTGTTCAATATCCAAGGACCCATCTTTGAACTGTTCAACACATCTCTGTTTCAATTGATCAGAGTAGAGGAGACATGTATCATATTCTCCACGGACAGCAGCAGCAGATAAGTTTCTGTAGTCAGCACGGGCATCTTCATTGAGAGTCTCCACCAAGGATTGTAAACCACCGGAAGATGGCTGTGTAGAAACATGAGTAGTAGAAGCAGACACAGCTTCGAAAATCAGAATTGAATGGTGAGAAACAATTGCCCTGCCACTTTCGCTGCAAATCACTGGATGCTTTACGCCCTTACGGTCACAGACATAGAGGACCGCTTGGACAACAGCGGATGCATATTCTTCAATGCCATAGCCAACAGACACATCAGAATTGCTTGATTTAGAACCATCATAGTCAATTCCAAGCCCGCCTCCGATATCAATGAATTTCATACCAGCTCCAAGACGGACTAATTCAGAGTAAATCTGAGTGGCCTCACCAACACCATCAGCAAGCAACTCTGTTGTGGGGATCTGAGATCCAATGTGAAAATGCAATAACTGGAGACAATCCAGCATTCCAGATTCATCAAGCTTCTTCACTACACGAAGAATCTGAGTTGTTGTCAACCCAAACTTACCCTTTTCACCAGAAGTGGATCCAAAATGGCCAGAATGCTTGGTCCTGAGTTTAGCACGAAGTCCAATTACAGGCCGAACAGCCATTTTACGACTGATATCAATCACCAGGTCAAGCTCCTCCTCTTGTTCAAGCACAATTACAGTGTTCAAAAGGAGCTTTCTTGCAACCAAAGCAAGCGAAATGTACTCAGTGTCCTTGAAACCATTGCAAACAAGAAGAGCATCAGCACTCCCCTTGGAGAGACAGTTCATCGCCAGCAGGAGCTCTGGTTTAGACCCGGCTTCCAACCCGAATCGGTATGGCGACCCGAATTTCACGATATCCTCCACCACGAACCTATCTTGATTGCATTTCACCGGATAAACACCTTGATAATGAGCCTCATAGCCTTGAGAATTAACCGCCATATCAAAAGCCGATTGCAAAGTCTCCAAACGGTTCTTCAGAACATCAGGAAAACGGACAACAAGAGGCATCTGAAGCCCAAGCCCACCCAAATTTTTCGGGTCAGAAGCCTTCTTCACAACCTTTAGAAGGTCAATCTCCTGGTGAGGAAGAGTATCTGTACCATGTGGCCGGACAGAAATATCCCCGGAAGAGTTCACGGAGAAATAAGGAGCACCCCACCCATCTACCCGGTACAAAGCAGATGACAGATCCGTAGACCAATGAGAACCGGTAGTAACGGCGGCGGCGTTTGTCGCCGGAGGTACGCCGGAGGAAAATAACTCCGGCGCGGGAAGAGAGCTATCCCAAGAAAAGGCATAGCCGAGAGGAGGGGAAACAGAAGCGTCTACGCAACAACCTAAGGCCGGCATCTCTTCCCCGATCTGTTTGATTTCTTAAGAAAGAATCAAAGAATAAAAAAGAAAAGAAAAACTAACTTAAGGGTTTGTACAGATTGGTGTTCTTCTTCCCAATGTTGTAATAGTTGGGGGCTATTAAAACCCGCCGAGGCCGAGGCCCCGGCTACCCCCTCAAAAGAAGCAAAAAAAGAAGTGAATCAAAAGATAATCACCCTCTAACACACTTTTACACGATCCAAAAATCCCCACCCTGACTTCAGAAGAAGCTAATTTCTTGATTTAAACAAAGAAAAACAAAGATTAACAAGAATTAAAAGCCAAAATCTAGAATTCGAAAAAGAAGAACACCATACAGATATTAATGGAAATAGAGAAGAAGAAGAAGAAGAAAAAAAAAGAGAAGTGGACGGAAACCTAGTGGCTGTAATGGAAATTGTGAAGAGAACGTGAAACAAATAGCTATGAAGTGAGCGAGATATGCATGAGACGAAGACGCTTTATATAGGTGTGAAATCCGTGGCTGGGCCGTGGGCCCCATTTTTCGGCCCATGGAAAGTATCTGACTTTCTCTTTTTCTTCTTGGAGCAGGAATTCTTACCATAACTTAAGTGCTAGTTTAGATAAAAAAATATTATAAGTTACAATAATTAATAATTATAAATATTACAATATAAGATAAATTTATTTAAATTTTGTCACATAAATTGAGAGTAATTGAATTACTAATATGCATAATCTTAGATTTAAAATTAACTTTGGAAAAAAATAATTAATATACTAAACAAATAAAAATAAATTATCAATAATAAATAAAAATAAAGGGAAGGCAGTAAATTTTATCGAAAAAAGAAATAAAAAATGGCAAGAGTATGAATATTGTTCTTTATTAAGTGGGCAAGAGATTCTTTGGGACCGTGGATAAACAACGGAGAGTTGCCGCGTGGCCTGAAGTGGACCCCATTTTGGGGATTTTATCTTAGAGTTAAGCGAGAAGATAAGGTATGCGTGTTAGGTATGATAATATCGTGACTATTTGAGGAGATTTTGGTAGTTACTTGTTTGCTTACGAACACGAAGCTTCCTTTAGATTTTGTAATTTTTAGAGATAACAATAGGGCGGCGGAGGAAATTAAAATCATATACTCAATTTACGTGGTACTTTTTATTTTTAGAGAATCAAATAGTTTAAATTTGATAAAAAATTTACGTGTGATATCTTTAATTTTTTGAAATGATATTTATATATTTGTAAACTAAATAAAAAATACTATAAGTTACAATAATTGGCAATTCAAAATAATTAATAGATATGAAAAATTTATGATAAAAAATAAACTTATTTGAATCTCAAAATCTGAAAAGTACCATATAAATTGAAACAAAGGGAGTAGGTTATAGCTAAATTATT